TGTTGGTGTGGCAAAATCACTGGGTCAGGAGGGCCAAGTGGGAGTTTGGGCTGACGCTGTGACTGTTCCCTCTGCCCCGACCCGACCCCTATTGTTCAGTACCAGTCACGGGACAGCTCGGTGCTCTACCTGCTCCCCTGTTACTTTCAATTCCAGGGCTAGGGAAATGGCTTCAAGATTCTGTGGAACTGGTTCTGTAGCCCCTTGGAATGATGCTTCCTAACCCTAGAGCTCCTTGAGCTGTGCAGGCATGGAGGACAAAAGAGGAAGAACCCCACTTCACCTGAGGTGTATCAACCCTCACCAATTCCAGCAGCATTGGCTATACCTACTTAAGAGCCCCTCACTGCAGTAGCATCAGCCTCTCTACCCCAGGCATGCTCTGCACCAGCTGCCACACCCCACAAATCCTCCATCACCACCTTTTTGATCAGCAGCCCAAAATGCCCCAACAATTAGTTCATGACTCAAAATCCTAGCTGTAGTGTGTGGTGGGATGATTTTCCAGAGATTTTGCAGATTGCAGGCCAAAGGAGATTAGAAACATCTGCTCTTTTTTACACATCAACCCCCCCGGATTCTTCTCAGGGATCAAGATCATACCGCCTAAGCATCTCCTTCCACAAAGCATGGCCTTAAAGTACTTTCCAAAGAGTCACTGCATGTAATAAAGAGAAGGAAGTATTGGTCTCAGTGGTGGCTTCACAGCTGGCATCCATGTTTTTTCTCTCCATCCTATATCCCAGTCCATCAAAGTCAGCAGCAATGGCTACGTCACAGCAGGGAATGTCCAGGAAAGGGAGCAAACTGGAAGCGCTGATCCCAGGGAGAGGCAGAAACCAGTTGGCGCCCATGATTAGGGTTTCTGCCTACCTATCCCAGTTTTCACAGGATAGATCAGATTTTGAGGAGGCATATCCTGAAAATATATTTCAGGCTGGCACTACATTATCACATGGCAATGCTGTGTCGCCACAGGATGATATTGCATCATGATGTGATATTGCAATGCAACCTCACGTTCTCACGATGCAACATGATAACTACATAAGGATGGATCAGCATTGGGACATCATGACACAAATGTCATGCCACTCTGATACAACATGTTTGTCCGGTAAGGCAAACTTTAAAACCAGCAACTATAGCCAGGGTTGAATTCTTGATGGACTTCATAATTTTTCTGCAGACTGGATTTTAACAGCATGCTATCCCACAAATGTCAGTACATGCTCTTTTCAATTCCATTGCTCAATCACATGGTTTTCCAACTCTGCCCCAAAGTCAAAGCAAACAATTCCAGTAATGGCATGACCAGGCAGATATGAAGTCAATTTCAAGTTAAGGCTGATGCAATGTAAACCTGGAATTCAGTCACATACCCACCCACTGTGAAACCATAGTTTAGTACCAACCTGTAGGTATTGCAGGGAGGTTTATGTTTTATTCCTATAGCTACGTCGTAGCACTAAGTTTCTTTTGCATGCCATGTTCATGTAATATTATTGTATTAAGTGTTCTTTATCCAATTGCATAAGTGTAAAGTGGTGCATCACAGAAAAGTACACGATGGTGTCCCTACTCCAGAGAGCTTATAGGCTAAGTGCTCGGAGTAGATTGAAGTTTACAATCTGCCCTGAGTGAGGGGCAGTGCTTAGCTGCATTACCCCAGAGTCAGAGTCCAGTCCCTGCTTCCCCCTAGTGCCCTGAGAGAAATAGGCTGCACCAGCCATTTTCTTAGAACAGGTTACTCGCCCTCCACACTGGCTCAGCTGTGCCAGAGCTCTGCCCACTCCCTCTGCCCTACCTACCCACTCCCAGCCCACCTGCATGGGAGGGGAATAGCAGCCCTGTAGCAGCGGTTCTCCCCATGCCCCTCACACTCCTACCTGTGGGACAGATAAGTGCAGGAGGGTAAGGGGGCTCCTTACATCCCTTTCTATCCCTGTGTGAGAGCACAGCAGAAGTCACAATCTGGTTCTTGTGGAGCGTGCCACACAAAACCTTAAACCAGATAGACAGACTACATGTAGCACATACTGCTATTTCACAGGTGCCTTAGTAGAATTTTATTTTTAATAGGTGTTTTTTGCCAGCTAAATCTCGGTCTCTGCCTCTTGTGGTGATATTTCATGCCCAGTGCTGATAACGTCCTGCTGAATACAGAGGAGCATTTACAAATAAGGAGTTACCTGTTCGAGGTAGCATCTTTGGCTGTTGTCTTCTGTCTCATAATGAAGTACTGGAGCATTCCTATTTATTCGGTTAGTTGTGTACTACATGAACATTTACAAGACCTAGTCAGTCTCTTTGACGACTGTGTGTGTAGTACATACGTTTTCAGTTATTACAATAATTGTTCATAGATCCTTTCATCCCAAAGGATCTCAAAGCTCTTTCTACAGGGTATATACAGCCATTTCATCCACTGGCAGGGCAGAGTGCCATAAACATGCATGGTGTTTTACAAAACACAAGGACTCTGCTCCAAGGAATCTCACTCAGACAAATGCCAATACATGAGATAACAGTTTACACACATAGCCATGGAGACATCGTCAGTCAGAGCTCTGTAAGAAGGCTACTGTTTAGGACAGGAAGTGAAGAATAACTCAACCAATTAAAAATGCATTGGGAATGTAGGTAGGGTGGATGCAAGTACTCAAATGGGAATTCTGCCACATGACTGGGCTTAATGCCCCTTTCACATGGAAAAGGTCTTGGGATGGATAAGTGAGCAGGACCTCATTCTTTATGTTTCATCAGAGGCTTTTATTTCTGAGTCAGAGTCCTAGCAAAGTGGGGTCCTGGTCCCTGACTGGGGTTCCTAGGTACTGTGGTTATACTAAAGGTAAAGTATAATAATGTGGATCTAGATCATGAAGAGCCCGTTAAAGTCAACAGAAGTGTTGCTCAATTAAGGACTGCTGAATTTGGCCCTAAGTTCTTACTTGGTTTTTAATTAGTCCTTAGATAAAATTTGTATCACTCTCCTGGGAGTTTTATCCAAGAGAGGACTAAGTAATAAATGAGTGAGAACTTCAGGATTTAGCCCAATAATAATAGGATGGATTTAAATAGCAGCTTTCCTTCTGAACATCTCAACTACATGTAGCCTACCTATAGATGGGCAAATAGTATTATCCCCATTTTATAGACTGGGGAACTGAGGCCATGTCTATACAGAGAGTTTGAAACAGCAGGAGGTCAAAGCACACTATGGAACTTTTAGTGCGTGGCGGCAGGGTCCACACAGCCAGTTAGTGTGCAGCACGCTAGTGCACTGTAGATTTACACCCCCGCTTGCCATGCACTCTCTCTCTATAGGCAAGCCCTGAGACACAGAAAGGTGAAGAGATTTATCAAATGTCACACAGAGGTGCATTGGCAGCATGGAAAATAATAATAGGACTAAGGTTTCCTGACTCCTAGTCCCCTGCTCTAACTATTCAGCAATGCTGTCTCTCAGTTGCTATCAATCCTACCACCTACTGTCTCTGGAGGTCTCCCATCCAAATACTGAATCAGTTCAATCCTTCTTAACTTGTGACATTTACCAGGATCATGCCACAAGCAGGTATATTTGCAGGCAAGGTGGCAAAGAAGTTTGACTGTGAGTTTTCTGATATATATTGGGCAGAGGTGGGGAGACTATCCTGGAAAAATTAAAACACTTACCCCACTGCACCCGCTGGCAGCTGTTTTAACCATTCCCAGAGCCAAGCACTTTCTTACAAAATCAAAACATCTTTTACTTTAAAGGTGCCCTTACAGAGCTGGGTGTGTGACGATCAGGGCCCCATCTCCATTGGCAACCGTGAGGAGCTCAAGTGTAAGAAGCGTGTTTTAAAAGGACAAGAAATATGTTCTCTGTGGGAACCAGCCAGGTCCTCTGTAAGGAGCTGTAGGGCGTCTTGCCATCAAATTATAGATGAATACACAAGAGGCAAACAAATCTGCATACAGTTTAGTGTGATGAAAAGAAAAGATGAAGCTGTGTGACATGACACCAGATGGCAAGGCATTTTCCCTTCACTCAGGAAGAACAGGGAAGATTCAGGTTAATCACATACAGGGATGTATAGTAGAAAGTATAGGTGATTAGAAAACAAATCAACCCCAAAACAAACCAGCCAAACAATAACATCTGGGCCACGGGGTAGGTCTAAAGCTGTAGCACTGAGCATTTCTCCCAAACATTTCTCTACAAACCGATTGCTAAATATGGAATTACATCTTGCCTATAAAGAGAAAAAGCACAAGATGATTAGTGTGATAGCAGGAAAGTATTCTTATGCTGTTGAACACCCAGCTGTAAATCCTGTGTTTCTGATCTGCTGAATTAACTGTGCCCAACACAGCCAAGTGAACAGATACAAAAGAAAGGGAAAGCGATTGTATTTCAGCAGTTATTACGCGCCCTGACTGTCCAGCTGAGTGACACTTTCAACTTCTAATTTTTAAACACAGTCCTCTGGGGAAAAGGTTGTGGTCTCATGACATTGTGACTGATGTCGTGATGTGCTGGGTCAAGTTCACTGAGACCAGGAGTATAGTAGGATTTATAAAAGAATTATGTTTACTGTCTGCTGGGCTTAGGCAGAAACTTCGCCTCTGGGCAGATTAATCCCTAACTGTCCTGGATGTGATTTCTTGCATCATCCCCTGGAGCATTTGGCACAGGCTTAAATGGACCAGGGGTCTGATCCTATGTCCTTCTACAAGTCCTTGTGGTGAGAAGTCTTGTTCCCTTAGACCTGAGAGGGTGAGCTGGAATTTAGTGTCACAATTTCTGCAGGAGAGCTGGATTCATAGTTGTTGCATGAAATGTCAAAACTATAAGCTTGAGCCCCATTGGAGCATCAATAGGCAGCCCCTGCAAAGAGCGAATCAACAGCTGAGCCAAATCTCCACTGCCCTACCCCAGCTTTGAACTCAGACTGATGATCAGCAGGCAGGCACCACAGAGAGCAAATCAGCGACTGAGCCAGGTCTTCACCACTGCCCACTCTCATTAATAAGGGCTGGCTGCATTCAGCACTAGCTGGCAGATGATAGATCAGTTTCTTAGATGGCTCAACACAGAGTGCAGTGCAATGACAGGCAGAAAGAACTTCTCCTCTTCTCTTGCAGCAGGAAGCTTTCCAGAAGGATGGCCTCCCTCTTGGAGCTGAAGGAAATCTTCCGCAATGCCGATGCAGTGTGCTTTGATGTGGATAGTACAGTCATCAAGGAAGAAGGAATCGATGAGCTGGCGAAGTTCTGTGGAGTTGGGGATGCTGTGGCAGAAATGTATGTACACAATTTGGTTCTTGATTCCATTGGCATAGCAATCAATAGTAATAATGGTTCAGCTTCATCCCTGGCCAGTGGAATTACATCAGGGATGAATAGGTTAAAGAGGATCATAGTAATAATAAATAGCATCAAAGAATACTGGAATAACTTACAGTTTGGAATTGTGGATATATAGGGCCTGAGCCAACGTTCATTCAAATCTATCCAATGAACACCAGGCCCCTACTTTGTTACGGGGCTTTTAGTTAAACTTTGCAAAACAGTAGCACAGCCTGGTCCCTCTTTTTTGTGAAAGAAAGAAAATACATCTTGGGCCATTCTGAAGCCTGATCTTGCCCCCATTGGTGCCAATAGCCAAACTCACATTAACTTCATAGGGAGCAGAATCAGGCCATTACTTAAGGAATGCTGGTCCAATATGGAGCAATAAAATAAAGATTTTGTCAGCTGGTTCAGCCATGCTCAGGTACAGCATGATGTCAGGGCTACTTATCTGCTTTGCCTCATGGTCCCCCTAAATCACAGCATTTATCTTTAGATCAATGATCCTCTTCCACTGAGCCTGGGGAAAGTGTCTGTTTGTGGATGCTGAAAATAAATATCTTACAAACCTCAGACTTAATGAGTTGCCAATAAGTAGTCATCAATCATCAGTTCAGCTCCACCTTTTTTAAAGCTCTTTGCTGCCCATCTTCTGTATTTTGCCCAGTAATACTGGTCCGGTAACTTCAACCTGCCATGTTAGAGTGCTCTCCCTCTTTGCTCCATTGTAACTAGAGGTGGATCTGAACCGCCACAACATTTTTGGAGGGGAATTTGAAATCTGGCAGCAGTTCTTAAATATCATGCAAATTTCTCAGCTCATACCTTTTCAGAATGTGTACACAACAGAGCCTAGAACTAATGGCACTTATGAATAATTCTTCTTCAGTTAAAAGTCTTTGTGACAGATCATCTCCTGTCGAGTGTAACTGATTTGCATGGATTTGTTTGGATCTCAATTTAGGACACGGAGAGCTATGGGAGGCTCCGTGACATTCAAAGCTGCTTTAACGGCACGACTAGGACTTATACGTCCCTCCTGGGAGCAAGTGCAAAAACTAATTTCAGAACATCCTCCTCAGCTCACACCAGGCATAAGGTAAGATGTGTTTCAAGTGAGCTTCCAAAGCCACAGAAGGCCAGATGCTCAGTTGGTGTAAATCAGCATAGCTGCGTGAAGTCAGTGGAGTTACACCAGCTGGGGATCTGCCCTAGAATGTTTTCCGGCTTGACTTTTACATGGTATGTGATGTTCAAATCGGGATGTTACAGTGGGATGACTCCATTTCTGTGGACAAGTGTCCACCATCTCGGTGGGTACTAAGGGGCATCCTCGTTGACAGTCTCAGCACACAGGCCAAGGACTGAATGGTTATGGACAATGATCTATCCCGTCACCTTTAGAAGTGGTCTTTCTAGGTTCAGGGTGTGGCCCTTTGATTGCACTGCTGTTGCCCTAGGCGTGTGTGTTCTGGAGATATAGAATCTGACCCTGTGAAGTGCTGAGGGCATTCAAATCCCAGGACTGGGCCCATCTAGAGGAGTCCGTTCTTCAAGGCTATCAATTCATTACTAAAGTCACCAACGAAGTTTTAAAGAAATTGGGGCTCAGAGTAAGCATAACTCATTTCAACCTAATAGGTATTTTCTACCCAAAAGCAGTAAGTGGCTGAAAAAAGGCTCTTATTAGAAAACTGCCCTCCTAGCAGGCTCTAATACTATAATACCGAACAGTGTTGTGAGAAGATATTGCATCTGTGTTTTCTCCTTGAACTGAAACACAGATTTGTTCTCTCTGTAGGGGCGGCAAGAACACAAACAGCACATTGTGTCCTTGTTTGGAATCACGTGATTCTCTTCTCTTTACTTACACTCACCCTCTTCCTTTCCCCCCCTCCCCTTTCCTGTTCAGACAGCTCCTCTGTTTTAATCCTGTCTTTTCCTGTCTGTGTTCTAGCACTTCCTCTCTTGCTACCGCCGCTGCCGCTTTGCTTTTGCTGCTTGTTGGCCTTTTGTTTTAGGGCAGATCTTGCCAGGTGCTGAGTGCCTTCAACTCCCCTTGTCCTCACGGACTGGGGGTGAAATTCTTTTGTCTCCGATACAGCTTTTGATGATTCTTTTTCTGTAGCTATTGCCTTTTCTACAGGAAGGCTGTTGCTGTCCAGTGTTCCCCTAGGAACTATCCAGCAAGAGATACGGCTCAGGGTCAGTGAATCCAAAAGATCAGCTTGTGCTTTAGTTAACTTTAAGCACATTCTCTGTGCGGCTTGGTGCTATGGACTCAACCGCCTATATTGCTTGCATATTGTGGATTTTTTTGATGGTCTTATTCCCACATTCAGGAGAATTTCTGGGCTGGATCAGTTCTCATTTGTTCACTGGAATTGACCTGAATGTCAAGAAAGTTGACCCGAATATCAAGAAAATCAGTTCCCTGATCCACTAATTTCTGAGCAACTAATTGCCAGTCTGTGTCTCAATATAATACAGATTTGTTATAGCTCCTTTCATACAAACTCTACATGAGCCTGCAAGGGAAGAAGGGAAAGTGTAAGGCTGCACTAAAGTATGGTATTGAAACCCAATTCCTGAATAAACAAGAAGGATAATGCAAATTGTAGTCAGCTTTGTTAATGAACGATATAGCTGGGATTCCTCCTTCCCTCTCTGTTGTTTCTTGATCTTGCTAAATATTCAGGGCTGGTTGTTGTGTTTTCTTTTCCTATAAGAGAGCTGGTAAGCAGGCTTCATCAGCGAGGCATCCAAGTCTTCTTAATATCCGGAGGGTTTCAGAGCATTGTGGAGCACGTCGCTTTACAGGTGAACATTCCAACAGCAAATGTGTTTGCCAATAGGCTGAAGTTTTACTTTAATGGTAAGATGTGATTGATGGCTCTTTTTTCTACTCATTGATTGTGGGCTACAGTGGCTTAAGAATTTAATGGAAAATCAACATATTGAAATATGATCATTTTGCTTCTATGAATGACCTCTCTGAACTGAGGCTGATGGTTCTCAGTCCCGTTTCTTGTGATCGAGCATCCACGTTATAAATACCGTCACTACAAGTGGCACTGATTGTCCCTTGTTGGCCGTCTTAGCAGAGAGGCCAAGGAGAGGTCAGGGTTAAGGCAGTTTGGTGATGTAAAAGCATTTTAAAAGTCACAGGACGCAAGACAGAAAATGAAGCGTGGGTTCCAGTAGTGGCTTTATAGCCACAATCCATGCTCTACCGGAACCATCCAGCCTGCATCGTCTCAGTGCCAGTTCAGACACAGCACCAGGCAAGGAAATTGTGAGCCCCTTTTCTTTCTCTCTCTCCTGATGTCTGCCAATCAAACTCTGGGGGGGTGTGCTGTTCTGTGGATGGAAAACCGCAGACTGCTGGGATGTCAGGCTGGCAACTTTCTCCAGCACTAAGTCGTCCCCCCTCACCCCTCCCCTGAAACCCCTTCTCCCAGAACTCCCCTCTTTCCTCCAAACAAAACAAATCCAGTTGAAACAATTTCTGGCTGTACAAATTGTTCATTGGAAGCTATTGTTTTCCCTGAGACAACATAACACGCTAGGGTAAAGAAACAAGCATGGGAAATACCCTACTAGTAATGATAGTTGGTTCAAGCTATTATGTGTCTAGAATAAAAGATCAAATACATTATTTTTTTAATTATGGGCTGTACTAGGGAAAAGCAGCAAACGTTGGAGCTCCTTTGCACGGCAGCGGAGGCGTAGAAAGTCACATTCTTTTACATTCTTGCTAGGGGTTTGATAAGATTTCAAGTCAAGGTTAAAGGCTGTCTCATTAATAACAACACAGTTTCAGTTCTTTTAGCTTCTGCTCTCAGTGACTTTGGGGTAAATCCAGAGTAACTATTGACTTCAATGGACTTGACTTCAGTGGAGTTGCTCTGGATTTTACACCAGTGTAGAATTGGGCTCAGTGGGGCTCATTATTCTGACTTACACTGATTTTAATGGGGTCACTCCTGGATTACACCGTGACAGCGTAACCGAGGGTAGAACCTGGCCCAATGCATCTGTGAATTTGTGGAATTTTTTGCCTTTGCTCAGCATTCAACACTGTGAAAATTCACACCTTTGTGGCACTGTAAGACCCACAAAGTGATTTAGGTCAAATCCTACAGTTTTTAATGCATGCTTAATTTCCAATTAATTCAGTGGCGGCTTTATGCATGTAAAGCCTTCGGGATTGGGCCCTAATTAGTTATTTCCTAATGAAAAGGCCATGGACAGTGTAAAAATCCCTCTTGATTTTCAAGAAGTTCATTGGTGTCTTTCCTAGGTACCTGTGATTCTCTGCAACCCACTGAAGCAATTGCACATGCTGCCCAAGTATCTAACTCCTCCTCCCCATATGTTTTTAGGAGAATATGCAGGGTTTGATGAGACACAACCAACAGCTGAATCAGGTGGAAAAGGAAAAGTTATCAGTCATCTGAAGGAACAGTTTCACTTTAAGAAGGTAGTTATGATTGGAGATGGAGCTACAGACATGGAGGCATGTCCCCCTGCTGTGAGTATCCAAGAACGGGATTTCCCTTTAAACAAATGCTTTCTTATATTTATATATATAAAGCAATGGCAAGACATCATCTGTTTGACTGTTATACAGTATTTAAGGGGGATCGTTAATGCCTTTCAATCTATTCTGAAACAGTATCTTGTGGGCTATTTGCAGAGCAAAGGCTGTGACAGAGATCAGATTTCCTGCCTGACACCAAGAGGGGAATGTACTGATGGGCATTCACCTCCCTGTGTCAGCAGGCAGTGGGATCACCTCAGGGTGGAACAAGGGATCAGGCCATTCACTCATGTACCCCTTTCATTCTGGGTCTGGGTCACACACGCACACTCATCATGTCTCTTCTTCTTTGTGCCATTTGAGCAAACACCCACACCTGCAGCTGAGGTCATCACCTCCCTGCCTCTCCAGCCTCTTATATGAGACCTGAAAAGAAACATCATAATCCTGTTATCACCTTACACGCATCACTCTTCCTATAGTCCACCCAAGCTTCTCTTCTGACTGCTCCCTTTGGCTCCTTGACCCACTCCCAGCTCCTTGCCTTCTTTCATGTTGCACTTGGAACAGACTTGGAAGCCAGCCAAGCACACTCCCTCAGAAATCCCCTGAAAACCCTCCAGTGCCACTAAGCAGCCCACTAATGCCTTCAGCTGGTCTGGACAATATTGTTCAGCACTCAACCTGCCTTTTAGACAGTGGCCAGTACCTCCAGATTTGCAATCCTTTCTTTGGTATTGTTTACCTTTTTTAAAGGCATTGCTTGCACACACACACACGCCACATCTTTTGTCAGCATAGCACTAGGATTCCTGCTATTACTGTTAGTATCATGGTGCTTCTACACAGATTCCATCAAGGGCCAAGATCCCAACCTGGGCCACTGATTTATGGTGCTTAGGAAGCACGCTCCTGCACCCTTCTGGTGCACATGCTGCCTAATACTAACAGAGCAAGAGTGCTAGTCTGATGGCTTGGAGGGGTGGGTACCAAGATCCTTTCTTGCACCAGAGATAACTTCTCATGGGGATGGAGCAGACACCTGCCATCCCCTCCCCCGAACATGGCAGCTCTCACAGAACTGGGAATAATTTAAAAAAGAATTAAAAAAACAACTTAAAAAACAAAAAAAAAAGTGCCTTTTTACAGTGGGTGTGGATCTAACTTGCAACCTACCATTATAGTCAAGTACCTTGCTAGAATAGTAATGCTCTTGCTCTGTCAGAATCAGGAAGCATGTACCTTAATGTGGGCCTGGGATGTGCTCCCTAAGTACCATAAAATCAGCACTGCAGTATAAGGAACATGCATGATGCTAGTTCCAAGTGCCAGTGCTTGTGTAATTCTATTATTTTTAATGCTAACAGTGCGTATCTTGGCAGCAAGTGTATGCACTACGATTCCAGATTAATATTTGTTTAATGCCTTAAATATCTCATGAAACAGCAAGAAGTGTAAGTTTAAATGTTGCATTTTCATTGATCTAGATTGTCTAGGCTCTAGAAATGATGATTGTTCTTGGTTAATGATTTGAGCCATTATTAGTTAATGATTACGTTTGGTATCTGTCATACGAGGTGAGTGGAGTTAAAATAAATAGCATAGGTATAATTGTGATATTGTGCATAAACATTCGCCTGTGAACTCCTACTGGACCGTTAGGAGTTCAAGGTACAGTAGCAGCAAAAGTCACAGGAATTTTCCTCAGATTTTTCAGTGAAGTCTCAGATGTGAACAATCTCAATGTCACAAGGTATTAGAAAATGACCCTGCTCCCATGGCAAAGTTCCCATTGACTTCAAGGGTGCAAGATCAAGCCTTTAATGAAATCCATCCTAGCAACAAACACAGAAAGGCAAATTTTTTTTGGTGAGGGGTTTTTGCTACAGTTTTTGAGGATAAACTCATTCTTTTTTTAAAATTGAACATATTTACACTAAAAATCCCCATTTGATTAGTGGAAAGCTCAATAGACAAACCTATTCATTTCTGTTTTGCTAGGATTGCTTCATTGGATTCGGAGGAAATGTAATCAGGAAACAAGTAAAGGAGAAAGCCAAATGGTACATCACTCACTTTGACGAACTGCTTAAAGAACTGGAAGAACGATAAGTTATACAGTAACATAGTATTTTTATTAACAATTATAGTAGATCAATATATACAATGCAATTAAACGTATTTTTGTGTGCACAATTGTGTACTAAATTTTTTTGTTTGACTTTGATGCTTCCAGATAACTTCCCAAGATGTTCCCTCTCATACCTGCAGTTCACACTGCAAGTGGTCCCATTCCCATATATTACCCAAACACTTGCTAATCAGAATTCTTATGGGGCAATGGACGCCTTTTATCCGATAATCTTTTCCAAGGTGGAAAAGTCAATAGATTCATTCACTGGCCTATCGCAACTGAAAACCCATGTTAAGAATTTATTGGCAAGTTAATAATAAATTATTGGTCTGTGGTTACTTTATAATGTATGTTTCTTCAAATTACTAAGGGCCCCATTCTGCTACTTTCATTCAGCTTGAGTAGCACCGTACTCTCCCGCAGAAGGGTCAGATTTGCTTGGTGCATGACAGGGAGGGAAAGGCATTCGCTCCCTGGCTGTGGCCTGACCTACATTAACTAGAACACCATCTGGCTATGGTCCCTTATAGATCATATGCCAGCTGAGAACTGGCCAATCAGTTACTTTGCCTCCTCACGCTCCCAACAGCCCCCCCCCATACTGGCGTGGGTAGGTAGGGCAGCTGGCACAGGGTCCAGCTATGCTGGATGTGCATCAATTGAGAAGTCCTCCTGCTGAGGGAATTCTCAGCTGGCCTGAGTGGTGCAAAGGAACCACTTCAGGGTGGAGAATCTGGTGCCATGTTTTCGATGTGCGTGTGTTTGCTTTGTGGAAAACAGTGAGTAACGCCACACTGAGCTGAAAATCTGCTTTGGAATGTGAAAAATAAGCTGCTGCCATTTGCTGAAAAGCATGGTCAGGGCTCACAGTTCCAGCAGAGACGTGCCATACTTAGTTATGCGATGTACAACTAACTCACTGGGGGCACCGGCTAGACAGTTTCAGAGGTCACACCTGAGTGTGCAGTTGCTTGCTCAGCGTGAACGCTTGTTGGCAACTTCCTTAAGTTCAGATTTCACATGTCCACTTATAGTGGTATAGAAAGGACACAAATGTATGCAGCGTAGTTGTAGCTGTGTCACTCCCAGGACATTAGAGACACAAGGTGGGGGGTTTAGTCCAATAAAAGATATACCTGAGACACAAGGTGGGGGAGGTAATACGTGAGTCATTTTCTGTACAAAATTCCAAAATACTGCATGAAAACAGTATGGAGGAAAACCGACGCCCAAGGAAAGATGAGCATACTATCACCAAAAGATTTGATTTTTTGGCGACTCCTTTCAAGTTTGTTCTTTAGCAAGATTTAGTTGATTAACACCAAGGAGCAGCTAAACCCAACAAGCGGATTTATTTTTGAAAAGGTCTTTCCAAACAGACCTTTCTTAGTGAGGGCTGACTCAGAGGGCAACATCCGCTCTGCTTAATAAATCTGCATCTGTACTCTAGCAATGGGCAGGACAGCAGGCTGTTTACTACAAGATTCTTCAGCGGCCTACAAAAAATACTCTTTTAAATTTATCTTGAAGGAAATCTCAGCAAGTTCCAAGAACAGCTCATGTACAATAAGTCTTTTGTTTGGGGAGGAGTGTTTGAATAGGGTGAAAGAAAGCTCTTGCTGTTATTCAGGGTGTTTCCTTGCTCTCCTCTAAGGCCTGGTCTACACTAGGAGATTGTCGAATTTAGCAGCGTTAAATCGAATTAACCCTGCACCCGTCCACACAACAAAGCTATTTAGTTCGACATAGAGGTCTCTTTAAATCGATTTCTGTACTCCTCCCCGACGAGGGGAGTAGCGCTAAATTCGACATGGCCATGTCGAATTTGGGTAGGTGTGGATGGAATTCGACGCTAATAGCTCCAGGAGCTATCCCACAGTGCACCACTCTGTTGACGCTCTGGACAGCAGTCCGAGCTCGGATGCTCTGACCAGCCACACAGGAAATGGAAGTTTCCAGGCATGAGACTGTTTTTTGTTAAGATATCATGACAAAAATCTAACATCCAATACAGCAGCTATGGCACTCACTCAGGCCCTGACTCTGCAAACAGTTGTATACATACTTAATTTTAAGCATGAGTAGTCTGACTGAAGTCAATGCGCTAATTTAAGCATATGCAGAAGGGTTTGTACAACTGAGGCCTCAATGTACATCTGAAATTCTTCTCCACGCCCGTCACTGTGATTGAGAGTGGAAAATGGAAGCGTGGATTGTACCTGATATTTCACAGGGGTTCTTCAGGTGTGGTTGTTTTGAAAAGTAAGAAAACCGTTCTCCATTGGGCAAACACCAAGCCACACCTCTTCCTAGGTGGAAACAAGAATTATTATTTAGCTCAGTAAGCAGGTGGCTCTCTTCTCCTGGCTGACCTCTTTGCTCTGTAAAGCACGGAGTGCTAATCAGAGGCAGTACGGCAGTGAGACAGCAGCAGGAAGAAAGTTTCCACATCACAGGTAAGGTGCCAGTCCAACTACATACAAGATCCATCACAAAGGTGCCCAGGAAAGTTTTGGGAAACAATGCAAGGGGTAAAGTAAGCAGGCAGGTGATCCCCTGACAAGAGGGGAATAGGAGAAAGTAGAGGAAGTTACAGAGGGGAAGGGAAATGCCCTACTTGACACAGAAGAGGAAGAAAAATCATGCAAAGCCATTGCTCACTTACGAAAAATCTGTTCTTCAGTCTATGCTCAAGCACATGCATTATATTCCTTTCCCCACGCTTTCTCTCGTGTGTTTAGATTGTAAGCTCTTGAGCACACAAACCATCTTTCACTCTGTTTGCACAGTGGCTAGAAAAATGAGACAATGGGTGCTACCACAACACAAATAATACCGAAGTTAGGAAATCATTAATAATAAAGTTAGGAAACTATTAAGATGAAAGACCAGATGTGCACAGCTGCTGGAACTAGGAGTGAGTGAGTGAGTGAGTGTGTGCGTGCGTCAAAATGACTGTCAGTACATTAGCTTTTCACCTGTGAAGACCAAGGTGAAAATACTGATGCCAGTCAGTTTAGGCATCTAGACTGGAGCACCGGAGTACAGGGGATGGAAATTACAGGCTAGCATGCAGGATTCAGCCTAGTCTCCATTGTCTAGCACTGCAAAACCATTCAACAATTGGGCATAATTAAGTAGCTCTACTCAAGAGAGGCCTGGCAATAGAATGAAACAAGGATGATGCAGCTCAAGGGGTCAAGACTGAGGTATCAGCAGAATGTTAAAGCTTGCAGTGCCAGGCTCATCCCTCACTCTCCTCAGCAATGAATGTGTTCAATAATTAAAAGCAAAAATAAGCCCCGCACAAAAAGAATACAAATTAGCATGGATCATTTGAAGCCATACCCTGCAAACCAACATGGGTCCTGATCCTGTAACCGGATCTGGCACCATGGATCCTTGCACCCTACATGGAGATCTGCTGGCTCTACATGGGTGCAGGGCTCCACACCAGCAGATCTAATTGAGGGATCAGGGCTGTGGGCATACTTCCCATTTCCACATCCCAACACCACACACTTCACAACCTAGCATCTTATTTGGAAATTGTACGTAAATATCAGCTGACAGCACGTCTCTGTGGAAGTGATACGCTTCTGAAAAAGAGACACATTATGGCAATGTTGGCCATCTAAACTGAAATACTGTATACTTCTCCCCTACCCCCCTTTTTCATAACAAACACTGCGCAGATGGATGGAGACATATGGTGCCAGTAATATGTGAAAATTAAAAGGATTTTATTGACTGATATGTTATTGCAGAAAACTCATTGAAATGTACCAACTGGACATTCAGTATCTGATTTGTACATACAATATATTACAGTGATTCTTTAACTAGTTTGAATAGACATTGTTTTCACTTACAGGATGGTCACGTCATTATAGATACTAAAAAGTTGATATGCTCTAATCTAAAAGTGAAATCAAAACAGAACCGGACATAACGATACATTGCTTT